TGTTTTTCTGAAATTGGGTTAAATTACTATTCATAGGCAGTAATTAATGTTTTTGGCGGGAATTAGTTACTAAAAATTAATTAAGTTAATCCTTATTATATATTAATAGATGATAGCTTTTTATATAAGTATAGATAGATTATTTAACCCTTAAGTCTTAAGACAAATTAAATTAATGTGTACCTTGTATGTTGGGAATAAGTAATGTGTGTGCATACGTCTATTACTTTATGTAAACTAAGTGTATTGTGTACACATATATGATAAAGATTAAATATAGTACATCATATTTAATAGAGGAGTAAATAAATGAAATTATGTTGGGAAATGAAATTGAAAATATTACAATTATACCTTTCATAAACAAATAATTGTAATTATACCTAAATAAAGAACATTTACTACATATTAACCTAAAAGTCAGTTACATTTAAAGGTGGACCTCAATCCCATATTTTCCGCACGATTTGGGGTACCTGCCTAAAAAAACGTACCTAATGTATATGGAATGAAAATCAGAGAATAGTAAACAGTTTTATGTACCCATATTTTTTGCACAATTTTCTGATCAGGTATATGTGCAATATATTTTTGGTATTTGTTCATAAAAATAAATTATGTATTTTTTATTATTTTTGGTTTATGTTCAGCAGTTTAGTTTTATGTGTGCAGTACAAGTATATTTTTGGTTTATGTTCAGTATATTTTATCAATATGTTCAGTTTATTTGGGGTTTATGTTCAACAATATATTGTTTGGTTTATGTGCAGTATGTATATTTCACTAATCACTCACGGTTTTGGAGTACATTTCACGTCACGGAGAATGTATATGTGCAGTATATTTTGGTGTTTGTTCCTAGAAATAAATTATGTAGTTTTAATATGTTTAGTTTATGTTCAACAATTTATTTTTATATGTGCAATATAAGTATATTTTTGGTTTATGTTCAATATATTTATCTTTATGTTCAAAACAATATATTATTTAGTTTAAGATAGAAATGACTAAAACAAATCTACCAGACGTAACATAAAAAAACTACTACAAAAAGGTATTGCATATACCAAACATATAGCAGAAATAAACCATTGGATAATAAAAAAACGACAACAAAAAGGTATCGCATATACCAAACGTAACTTAAAAAAAAAAAAAGACAACAAAAAGGTATCGCATATATCAAACATATACTGTATATATACTGTACATATACTCCAATCCAATTTCTTACCCAACGACCAGTAAAAAAAATTAAAATAAAATAATATTGATAAAAACCAATTGAATTGAAAACAACAATACACAAAGCTCTAAATTCGAATAGCCTACAAAAAAATTAATATAGAAAATCAAGTCCCCAAAGCTGTCACACAACGTAATCAAAACGAAAAAAAAATATACCCTAAAAAAAATATACCCTAAAATTTTTTCACAAACTCGTCGACGTCGTCTTCTTCATCATTGGGCGCGGTTTCCTTTCATCCTCTGTTTGGTCCGCATCTTGCATAAAAATTCAGAACATGATTGCCCATAAAAAAGTCTGATTGCTTTCCTGTCTTCATTATAGCAACATGGAGTGAAATCCAATTTCTCAAAGAGAGTTGTGTATACAACTTTGCTAATTTGTGTATATAAATAGAGAAAAAAAAGAATTAACTAACAAGCAGTGGGCTGTCGGTCTTTGATCGATCATTAAAAAACAGAGAAAAAATTTAACTGTAGGAGAAGAGAAAATATAAACGTAAAGTTGTTGAAGAAGAAGAGAGGGAGAGGGAGAGGGAGACGGAGATGGAGAGACGAAGAGAGGGGAGAGAGAGAAAGTGTCCTACATATTTAGGTAAGTATAGATTTAATTTCAATTAAAGATCTCATCTATATAAATATAAAAAGGTTTGGTATTTACCTGAAATAGTATATAAATTCCCGCCTAAAAATTTTAAAGTTACTAAACTTGGTAATATTTTTTGAAAATTTTCAAAAAATCCCACCTAAATGTAATTTTAAATTTAAATATTTATGGAATGAAAAGATCACAATCAGAAAATTTTTTATTACATTCCGTCATATCTAAACTATCATATAATTTCTTGGATATTGTTTTAGGAATGTAATCTTGATTAAAAATAAGAACAACAAAGCCTCTAAATTATATTAACCCACTTAATCCTTGCTGTTCCACTTCTAACATTTCCCAACTTCCATCGCTCAGGACAATTTCCAATTAAATTGACCCTCCCAATTCCCATCGCTCAGACCACTGTCGCCACCAAGACGACGATGAATAATTCACATACCCTTCTCCACGAGGAATTCGTTAAGCCGGAGGCGACCCAGCCGAAGGGCCTGACGCAGGACGAGCTCCTGGCCCTCCCAATCGGACCCGCCAGCGCACCTCCGAGGAGCTCGATCGGAAAAAGCTCC